AGCTCTGCTTTTTCCATCTTATCAGTTACGAGTTGCCCATGTCCATTCTGTAACGGCCCTATGTTACCCTGCGCCTTCTTCCTACTCCCTATGTACTTAAAGAAGGACTTTTTGTTATCCTTAATCTTTGTTGCCAACTTGAGTTTTGTATCTGCTCTGGCCTCCCTCACTGCTTCCCTGCAAGCATGAGCCAAGCAGGTATACTCCTCTTTGGTGGCTGCCCCCTGCTTCCACAGCCTGCAGGCCTCTTTTTTCCTTTGAAGGCTCTCCTGGATTTCCTTGCTCAGATGAGAAGGTTTTTTGGCTCTTTTGCCTCCCTTTGCATGTACTGGGATGGTGCCCCTCTGTGCCTGTAGGATCAGTCCCTTGAGGAACTCCCACCTTTCTTGGACTCCCATCTCACAGATGTGATTACCCCTCAGTCCCACCCTAACCGGTCTCCTGAGCTCGTTGAAGTTGGCCTTCCAGAAGTCTAGCACTACTGCCCTACTAGTTGTCTTTCCCACCTTATGCCGGACAGTGAATCTTATCAACTGGTGGTCACTATCCCCTAGGTTACCTTGTACCTATCGATTCCCCACCATGCCCTCCCCTGTGGCCAGCACCAAGTCAAGTAAGGCATCTCCCCAAGTGGGATTACATACCTCCTGTGTTAGATGCAGGTCCTATATGCAGGTTAAAAACCTACATGAATGGGCAGACCTGCTCCTCCCAGCAGATGTCTGGGTAATTTAGGTCACCCATGACAACTAGGTCCTTTGAGCGTACTGCCTTTGAGAGCTGTTTCAAGAATTCTAGGTCTAACTCTTCCTCCTGGTGTGGGAGTCAGTAGGAGACTCCTACTACCAAGTCCCTTTCACCCCTACCCCCTTGTAATCTGACCCATAGGACTTCGATTTGCCCTTCTGTCCCCATCTTTATTACAGAAGATGTATAATGTTCCCTAACGTATAAAGCAATGCCCCCTCCCCCCTTTTTTCCCCAATCTATCCTGCCTGTATAGCTTGTAGCCTTCAATGCCCACTGCTCAGTCATGGGTAGGGTCCCACCAGGTTTCTCTTAGACCAACCAGGTCAGGATGTTTGTCTGCAAGCAGGAGTGCAAGTTCCTTCTGTTTGTTACCCATACTTCTAGCATTAGTATAGAGACACCTAAGCCCCCTGATAGGTGCCCTTAGTATTCCCCTATCCTGATTCTTAGTAGGCCCCTTAGTACTTTCCTGATCATTTCCAATGTGCAGTTCGTGGCTTGTCTTACCCAAACTCATCCTGAACTCGGCATCCCCATCCCCCAACAAAGCTAGTTTAAAGCTCTACTTAGGAGGTCTTCCAACCTGTAAGAGAACAGACTCTTACCTTTTAGAGAGAAATGTAGGCTGTCCCGTCCCAGCAAAGTCTCCGGGCAGGTAGCGTGCCTCCCGTACTGTAGGATCCGGGCAGCAGATGGATCCCTCCGTTCCTGTCAGGAGTCACCCACCACGATGACTCGACGCCTTCTCCTCTGGTTGCCCCTCATCCTGTCTGGTGGTAGCTGTGGACATGGCCTCCATTGCTGTACTCTCTCCAAGTGATGCTAGAGCATCATACCTGTTTCCCAGCTGCACTGGGGGAGTTGTTCCAATGGTGCAACGTCTAGTTCTGTGACATGTAGATCTGGAGGTGACTGTCTTCCATCCTTCTCCATCGACCTCCTCCTGTGACACCTTCCCTCCAGGTGTGTGGCTGAATGATGCAATCCTGCTGAGCTACTTTAGTTTTTTGCTTTACTTAATAGGAGTTTTAAGTTTTCATATGACTAGAAAAATATTTTTTCTTTTTATGAGACTGTCTAATAAGCCTCCTTACATTCACAGGAGACCAGAAACCCCTTGAGCCACCCCTTTTTCACACTTCTCCCACAGCACATCCATCCTGCTTCAAGCAGAAAGCTGCTGAGCCCGTACTACTGCCAGTATTTCTTGTTTATATTGTTTATGAATTACACCCCCCCTTTTTTTGCTATAAATTCATTTCTCATTTCTTTTGGATCTGTGTTCCTCTTGGCTAGCTATAGGTGTGATTTTTTTTTTTTTCACAGACAGTAGGCAAGGTGATCAATGAGGGAAAGAAATAGAAGAAAGTTTAAGGAGAGATCTGCCTCATCTGAGTTTCTATTAATAGACCTATGTCAAGAGAGAGTGAGATTGGTGAATATTGCGAGAAATAACCTTCAGAAAAAGAGCTACCTGTTGCGGGAGATTCAGGTGTCTCTTCTCCCCAGCCTGCCCCCACCCCCACCCCTTCCCATTTGCTTGTCTCTGGGAAGTCCAAGAAAGCTAAGGATAAATTACCCATGGGAAAAGCTTTGATAGGTATTTCAGTAGCAGTCTTTTCTAGCCCTGACACTACATCCCAAAATAAGTATGATTTATCTCAATTGGAATCCATTAAATCTGACAAGGACACTACCAAGGAACTTTCTCAAACAGAATTCTTTGCATCCATGTCAAGAGGTGTTATTTGCACCTTTGAGTTTTGTACAGAGCCAGCCAAGCTGAAAGAGTATTTCCTGATTGATTCCCCAAATAATTTAATGAAGTCTCTTAAGGCAGTATAAAGCACACTATTCTGGCTGTGCTGTACTTTGTAGGGTAGGGAAGGATTTTGGGGTGTGATATCTTTTATTATGTATAATAATACTGTATAGATGGAAGGGACATGGATGGCTTTATAGATGACTATATTCTTCGAACACTTCCAGACTTACCTTCTCATTGTAAAGAATCATTGAGGTATGAGTATAGTGCCGCATGCCTTTAAAGTTAAACAAAATGATGCATTCTTGATCCAGGTTTTAGAGATCCCTCTCACTATAACTCACTAAAGATCTTGTGTATTTGAAGGTAGCAGTGGTGGAAAAGCTTATTAAATGGTCATAACGATAAACTGTGCATTGCTTAGCATGTACTAGGTACCGCACTCTCACTAACACATTTGAAAAGTTCAGTGTAAATGTTTACTTCCTTTTTAACGTGTGCTCAGCTGGTAGAGTTAGCCTGCGGAGAGCTTGAAGACTGTATTTTAATCACCTTTAGCATATGTTGAATATAAACAAACCCATGAAATGGGACTTCCTGAAAATCATTGAAATAGACCAGTGTCTCTCCAGGGGGAATTTTTGAATTCTGACCTCTGTCTCCTGTACATGTTATTCCAAGCCAATAGTGGCCTATTCATAATAACAACTTGGGCATTATTTAAGAGTTGGCAACCACATCAGTTCTCAAGAAAACATCCTGCCTTTGCTGGTGCCCTTTGTGTAACTTAAGTTCTTGGCTACTGCAATAGCCAGATATCAGTCCTGGCTATATCCACAGAAAGAAGACTCTAACAACAAGCAGAATCTGCCTTCTGCCAGACTGACTTTTGGAGACCTGTTTGGAGAAAAAACCTTCTGACAAAAGTGCTTGGAAAGGAAAAGTATGTCTTGCTAGCATCAAAACTTTCAAGAAAGGGACTTCAGAACCCAAACTTCAGAAGCAGTTCAGGAGGAAAGAGGTGTCATCCTCTGAGGGTAGGCAATAGAACAGATTCTCTAGAGGGGAAGGTCTCATCAGAACCCCTTACCTTAAATCCCAGGCATCCAATACCAAACCTGCCAGGTGAAGAGAAGAGGATGGGTGTCCATTTTCTCCCTCCATTAATAGTAAAGTGCCTCCAAGGCAGATTATATGGAAGTAGCTCTGCAGACTGCCACTGAGAGACTGATGTCATCATTTCATCAAAATGCCAACCTTCAAAGAAATATACCTAAATAGGAATAACGTGACCAGAGCCATTAAACATTTACTTCTCATAGCAGCCATAGAGCTCATCTCTACCCCACACTTTCTCAGGAGTCTGCTGTTTTATTTGTAGCATGGAAGAGGAGAGGATTTTACACTGTGCTCGGCTTCCAGTTACTTAACAAGAGTACTAGGAAGCACAGATTTATAGAACATGTGGAACAAAAGTGAAAAACACACCAGTGCAGGAGTATTGGGGCCACAGGTACCTGCATGGGAGACTGGCTCAGCCACTTGGGAAGAAATTTGGTACGTATGGGGTAGGCTTCTTGCTTGTGTGTTATAAAATGAATCTGATTGCCTCAATAGATGTAACATTTGAACTGTGGTGTACTCTTCCATAGGGTAATAATTCAGTCCTTCCTTTCAGCAGGTGCTAGAGAAAAGGGATCATTCAAATTTTCCCTCTTGTCATATTTTATCATTCATTTTTCTCATTCGGGAAATCTTCGTTTACCAATTGTGGATGATTGTCAGATGAACTCTGGTAAGAGGGAGGACTCATTTACCTGCTAGTTTTCCTTCTACAAGATGTTTGGCAATCTGTTTCATCTGCTAGAGGACTGTATTTTTAAGAGACCAAATATGGGAAAAAGCTATCTTTGTTCTTTTAGACATGTCAGGTAGTAGCTGCTCTTGTTATGTTAAGGAGTTTTTCTTCCCTTTGAAGTTTTCATCTTGTAAAACTGGGCTGTAATGCTTGAAGGGCCTGCCCTGCTTCTACAAGTGCTAGTTCCATACTACCTTCACTTCTACGTAGCGAGCTTAAATGTATAGGATTGCCAGACATGGGTAGCATTTTCAAAAGTGTATGAAGTGACTTAAAGCATAAGGCTTATGTACCCAAGTCATTTAGGTGCTTTTGAATATCCTACTCAGCCTCTTGCAGAAAAAGAAACAAGTAGCAGGTAAGCAAAGCTTATTTTGTGTCGTTGAAAAAAATAGATGAAGGGTAAGGTGGCAACATCCAAGTTACACAACTGCTTATTAAATGTTAAGCGTTTCTTGGATTCACTTTTTAGAGACTTGTAATTGTAAGGGTGGGAGGAGGCTGGCAGTGTTAAATGAAAGAAATGTAATTGCTTAAAACTCTGCTTATCTTCTATAATCAATACACTATAAAATTACTGCGCTGACTTCTTTTGACTTATTTTCTTTCTCTTTCTTTCTGCACAAGCACTCCTATCTGGACAGGGAAACCTCCCTCCTTCTGAGAAACATTGCAGGAAAGCCTTCTCATTTGCTGACCAAGGTGATGCTTCTTCTTTCCACCTGCACGTGACTCTTCCTTGTAGTTAGAATACAGTTCATACTTCTGGGTTTATATCCTTTCCCTCTTTCCTTCTGACCATTTCCAATAACTTTTGCATATGTATATGTGTATACATATATTATTTCAGTGACTTTTCCTCTGGTCAGAGGAAACGGGCTGCTTTTAAAGGCTGTCTCTCATTTTAAATGCACTCTGAGTTGCTGTACATCTCAGAGATTCCAAATTATTGTAGAGCATTTGATAATCATGTTAATATTCAATTTTCTTAGCTACAGAAGCAAATGGAGTCTAAAACGTCTTCTGTTCTCTCCCCTTCATGAATATAAAAATGAAGTTTTGGGGATCACTTGGATACTTTTTCTATTGCAAGAAAATAGATACTTGCTTTAAATGGATTAAAGCTATTTGCCATCTCTCATGCTGAGAGAGGGAAGATCAAACTCACTCTTCAGGTGTTCTTCCATCATGTTAAATAGGCAAACACTGTAGGTTGACAGCATGTTCAGAAGCCTGTTAAAGATGGCTCCTAAACTATTTCCCTAACACATGGAAAGGGTCAGTGATGTCCTAGGACTTGGTTGCCTCATATGTTTTCATCTACTGTTTATTTTGAGAATCCTCATTTCTGTATTTGTTGTTGTTTGGAATCAATATGCATGAGAAGGTGATCAATACAGAGGATGAATCCATCAGGTGATGATCCAAGTGGCACAAGGGAGAATAGGTATTTTATATTGTTGAAAATATTGCACATTCTTTAAAACAAGGGTCAAACTTTACTGCTTTTTACCTACTTTATACCATTTCTTTGATTTAAAAGAAGGGTGAAAGGGTACTATTAAGGGGAAGTTGAGGCAAGTATGAAGACAAGGACTCCACTAATTATACCAATATATTAGTCATAAAGAGTATGTTTGTTAAATAGATTGATTTAGGCTGTATTTGCAAATTATACTTTAGAACTACTGCTCTTTTTTGTCTATATTTGTATTTGTGCTAAAGTGTCTTAAATGCTCAACAAGAATCTCTTCTGCGAAAAATGTATACAGTCTGTTATATTTCAAAGGAGCTTTAACAGCAGCCCAGAACAAAAGTCATTTCTGCTTTATCACAGCCCTCTCCTATTTTAGGTTTTTATTTTAAAAACCTTACTGGTTTAGGTGCATGTGAATTAACACCAGTGATGGCATGTACATAAACTTTTTTTATTCTAATGTCCTCCTTGCTTCCTTTGGTTTATGTTTTCAGTATGCATTTGTACACATTTGCTACTATATGAAATGAAAATAGGTTTAATTGAAACCTTTCCTTTGGGTCAGTTCATTGTTAATTGATGTGCCCCTGAGCCACAGTGCCTCCTGGGAGTCATTATTGGGATCCAATGCCATGTTTTCCTCTCCAGCTGGACATCTACCATTTTACATATGCGCAAGCATTTTTTAGTTAACTCTGCCTCTAAGATTTCAATTGCTGAGTTAGACTTGCTTTATGCTCTGCATTTGTATTATCCACTTTCATATGTTTGGGTCCAGGATTTTTGGGGGAGGATCCTAGCTTTCTTAGTATTTTGCCAGTTCCCCATCTGGTGTGTTAAGCGTGAGTGAAAAGTTAGTAGAATAGCAGGAAGATAGCGGCACAGGAAATTAATAGTGGTAATGGACTATATGAAATTGAGACCAGAAACTTGAACTTCTGTTATCCTATGCTGCCAAGTAGAGTAATAGGGGTGGGGTCACAGCTCACTGTGTATCCATCCCATGTCCCCAACAGGCATTGCTGCTTAGATATAAGATGCTTCATGGCCCATACCTAAATGCTTTCAGGAGGGAAGGGGATGCTTTCAGCAACAGTGCTAATTGTTTGAAAATTCAGGTTTCTGTTTTCTCTCATGCTGCCCCTCACATTTGGGAGGCATTCTCTGTAAATGTGTACCTCATCTTAAAGCTCCTCTTTGCTGTGTTGCCTAAAAAAGACTGAGGGTTTTGACTGGAGTATACCAGGGTTTTGACTGGGGTGTGCCAGTGTTCCTTCTTGGACTTTAAACTTGGAGGTTCCTGGCTAGAGGGTCTTGCCCCTCCACTCAGTCAGACCAATTGTCATATTTGGGGTCAGGTTAGGAATTTTACCCCATGGCCGAATTGGTATGGAGTGTGGGGAGGGTTGCCTTCCTCTGTTGGGGACATGGTCCTCTACCCAGAATCTCCTGAGCATATATTAACAGCATTTCAGAGAAGCAGGACATTGGCTACCATGTTTCTTCTGCTTTACCTGTGTGTGGTTAAGATATTAGGTCTATGTTGTGTTAGGGTTGATGGTAGTCTTATGTACAGTTTAGATTATGGTTTGGATAGGGATGATCCTTCTTCAGGCTTACCTAGGTGACTTATAGAGGTCCCTTCCAGTGCTGCTTCTCCATGACTACAAAATTTTGACAAGTGTAAGTTTGCTGATGTGCAAAGACCATTGTCTGACCCATGCTAACTAATATTGTTGCCATTGTCTTCTTGTGCTCCCTAGCCCCTCCTTGTTTGCCTGTATTCCTCTGCCTCTTTTCTTTTGCTTAGGTTCTTTTGCTTAGGTTTGAGGCAGGGATCATCTTGTAGTCCTGTGCTAGTACAGCTTCTAAGACAATAAGGTCCTAGCCCATGACTAGGACCTGTAAGTGCTATACTAATTCAAACAACAGTGACTGAAACAGCACATGGCAAACCTCAATGCAGATGTACTGTTATTCCAGGCAAGGAGGTCCCTCCATAGGAGAGAGGGGGGAGTATCTTGAATTTTACATTTTCTCCTCTGTTGTTTGATATATAACACAGTATTTACTGCAGATTAGTCAAACACTTCCAAGAAAACAAAAATAAAAAAATACCACACCTAAGCGACAAGCAGAGATTTTTGAGGACTAAATCTCTTATTACATTAACTGCACGGTTAGGATAGATTTAGAAAAGCTCATTATACTGAGATGAAATCAACAAGTTTGTCTCAATATCAGATTGGAAGTGAGCTGTCAAATGAATATTAACAATTACCAATCCTTCTCAGTTTTGAAGAGGTGGTTTTTTACTAGGTTTTAATTCCTAGTTAAAGATTCTTACCAAAGTCAATGAAATCAGTTAGTTGGAACTCATTAAGTATCTTAGTAGAGAAACCAAATTGTTATTTGCAAATGCCTAAACCATAACCTTAGAGCTAACTATAGAGCTTCTTCCTTAAATTTAAATTGTAATAGATGACGCTTTCTCTTTCCAAAGAACTCTAGTACACAGAAGTTTAACATACTTTGGAGGGCTTTTCTTTTGATCACCTTCTCTGTATGGACTTTGTATGATTATATACATGCATGCATACATGCACGCACAAAAGGCCACACTTCTGTTTCTACTACCTAAAAATAAAAAGTTGGGATGTCTCCTACCTAACAAAAATAAAAGATGGAAACAGGAAAAAGAAAAAGGTACTTACAATAACAGCAGGCTTAAACGCCATAGGACTTGCACTTTTCTGGACTCTCTCATATAGTAGGTCTTCGAATTGCAGTTAGAAAGCCATATAATTGTGGGCTGTGGGCACAGAACAATCAGAGTGGAGGCTGATGTCATGAATTCTGTCCCCAAGGTCTCGGAGATTCTGGAATGTCTTTCTTAGATGGCTCGTTGACCCACAAGGCAAAGATTCTTAACTTTATCCTGGATTTTTATGTTTGCTTATTCCAATGAACTAGAAATTGGCAACAGGAATATTATGCTACAGGAGAGTATAATTGAATCTCTCTGATTCGAATCAGAACCCTCCAAATCAATTCGGAAAGATTCGGCAATTCAGACAGACACAGCTTTAAATGTTTTTTCTACGTACCTCTTGGTAGCAGGGGCTCGTGAATGCTGCGATGCTGGGGCGTATGGAGTGTCCCACAGAAGTGCAGGGGGCTCCCCAGCGCACTGAGTAGCAGATCCGGACATGGACCAGAAGCATTTCTGGTCCACTTCCAGTCCACCGGAGAGCATGGGGGGGCCATGCACCCCCCCCCCCCCCCCTGGCCACCGGGGGCTCCCGGCCCCCCCCCCCGCCTTGGCAACTGGTGCCTCCTGGGTCTGGAGGGGCACCCGGGGTCCCCCCACAGCCAAATGATGAGCTGGAGGGGCACAGGAGGGCCCCCTGCATGCTCCCCAGCAGACCCAGAAGTGGACCAGAAATATTTGGAAGTGAGTTGTCCAGAAATACTTCCGGTCCACTTCCGGGTTCACCGCCAAGCATGTGGAGGCCTCCCCCGCACTCCTGTGGGACTCTCCATGCGCCTCAGCATCACAGCGTTCACAAGCCATGCTGGTACCTCGAGGTATGTAGAAAAAACATTTAATTAAAGCTGTGTCTGTGTCCAAATCCCTGAGTCTCCAAATCAGCATCGAATCTTCAGATTTGGATTTGGCCAAATCGAATCAAGGACAGTGATCCAAATCAATTAATCGAATTACCGTCCCTGATTCAGGCCAAATTGAATAGGGCCTGCTTCGCGCACCCCTAATATATAGGCAGTCCTTGACTTAAGACGTTTCGAGTTGCAATGAACGGCACTTACGAGGCTTATAAATTGACACCCTGTTTCAACGTTCTGATGTCAGTTTCAACTTTACGACGCTTGATCCGACATGATGCCACACCAGCTAACAAGTTCACTGAATCGCCCATCTCCCTGGAGAACATCTGTCCAAACTTCCTTGCACGCTTTCTTTAAAAAAGCAGACAAGACTCCAGAAAAATCTGCAGCCAAGACTCCTGAGAAGACTCCAGCCAAGAACCCTTCAAAAAGTCACCTCAAAGAAGTCCTTCCAAATCAATATGATTGCTATTTACAATATAAATACATTAATGTAGCTGTATTACTCATCTATAACTGACTGAGCACAAAATTCTGTGTTATTTTTCGTGTTAATAGGGTATTGGGCCTTGGTTCAGGAACCAGTCAATCCCCCTTG